CAGACCCAGCCAGGACTCCTGGGAGAGGCTTCCCAAAATAAAAGGTGTGCATCTGTAGCGTTCAGACTAACCTGTGCCTTAAGAGCTGATGAGTTAACAAGTCAACTCCTGCTCTGGGTACAGCCATGCCAATCTGAAAGCAATCACAGGGAGGTAGCCGAAGGCAAAACCAGACCACGGAGTCCCAGAAGCACCCAAGGGCTGATTCCTCTATCGTATGGCAAGAATAACACCTGATCCTCTTCAAAAGCACAAAGGAAGGGCAGCAGGATCAGGTCTTGAGATGCAGTTGTGATGGGACAGAAAGCATAAGGAAAGCCTCGGACAAAACTCCCACCAAAGATGACGGGGATCTTGTCTGAGTAACAAATTCAAGCTGTCTTTGCAGCGCTTCGTAAAGAGCTGCTGTTGCCACCTGCATGGCCGTGCCACAGACTTCGTCCCACGCAGGGCAAAAGTTCCCTGCCGCAGCACAACGCTCCGAGCACCGCGTGTCAGAGAGCAAGCTGGGAAAGGCTGCAGCACAGCCTGTCACCCCTGAACGGTGAGGTGCAACCCAGCTGTCGGGAGATGCTGCTCCGTAACTGCATCTGCCTACAGCTACGGAGCATCCGCTCATCTCCAGCTCGTACTTACTTTGTATATGAACGTACACCTGTATTATTATATCATTGCTCTCTTTGTGCATGTGAAGGCTCAGCAGCCAGCTCGCTGCAATCCAGTGTTTACCTGAGGGCAAACAGACTTATAAAAACAGTTTATATTCTCTAACAAAAGTGGGGTAAAAGTTTCAGTCTGGCATAAAGGAACACCGCAAGCACGGTAAGTACTTCAGCTCCACGTGCCGGTCGCATAATTTTATGGGGTAGTTGAGCTGTGTGCTGTATTCTTTGGGGACGTTTACAGATCTAGCTAATTACGACTAATTGTCATTACACGGCAAACTTCGTTTTCTTCGGGGATTTCGGACGCGATCCCGGTATTTCCTCAAGCCTTGCGCTCGGGACGTTTCAAAGCAGCGCAGCAGGAATTGGGAATCAAAGCCCTGTGAGGGCTGCGGGCTGCCGAGGAGCTGCTGCACCTCCCCACAACTCCCCGCACAAACGCGACCGCTCCTGCCCGATGCCCGCGGGCGCTTTCGGGGCCTCCGGGGGGAGACGGCCCGGGCGCCGCGAGGGGGAACGGAGCTCGGACCCTGAGGGAACTCGGGGAGCTTTCAGAGGAGAAACCCAGAGTTCTCGTCTCCGAAAAGTCCGTCTCGGCCCCGCGTTTCCTAGAAAGTGGGAGGCGGGAGCCGGCGGCAGGCAGACCCCGCCGGACGGCGCGGCGGGGCCCCGGGGCCGGCCCGGCAGCTCCTCCCGCCGCCGGGGGCGGGCCGGGGGCCGGGCCGGGGCCGCCCCGCCGCCGCCGCGCGGGCCCGGGGCCCTGGATGCCTCATGCCTGCCCCCGCACGGGCGCCGGCCCGCCGCCCGGGACCCTGCATGGCTCATAGCGACGGCCCGGCCGCCGCCGCCGCGCCCGGCCGGCCCAGGACTCTGGATGGAGACGCGCCAGCGCCGCCCGGCGCCCCGCCGCATGGGGAGCCCCGGAACATGGATGGCGTCCTCGCCGCTCCCCCCGCCTCCGCCACACGCACTCGCTCCCATTGGGGGAACCCCGGAACCTGTATGGCCCATACCACTGACTCACCGTGGAGGGGTGTTACTTATACAGAGTCCCGGGCCCCCCTACACACAATGGCAGCAGCTCCCACATTCTTCCCCTCAGAGGAGTTGGACTGAACCATGGGGCGGCGGGGGCACGGCCCCCCTCCCGGCCTCCGACAGAACCCGCCTGGCCCTGGGCGATACCACTGCACGCTCCCCCATCTTCCTTCCCCCCGCCCGGGTAGATGGACGCCGCCGCTCTCACTCACCTCGGCATCCACTGTGGCCATGGCCGGAGCCCCGGAGCGTAGCCCCGCCCCCTCGGCGGCTCTTCACGCCTTGGCTCCACCCCTTTCCCCTCATTCTTCTCAATGGAGACGCTCCGCCGGCCACCGCGCATGCGTGCGGCAGCATGGCGACCCCCGTGGGGCTCCACTGGCCGTGCGGCGTCATGGCGGCGCCCTGGGGAGGCTGCCGTACAGCCGGAGCGGGGCTGGGGGCGGGATGAGCTGGGGTGAGGCGGGGACAGGGCCGCTCGCCCCCCACGCACGGCCCCACAGACAGCCCCGCACCGCGGGCTCGGCTCGGCGCGACCGAGACCGCCCTCCCGGGGCAGCAGCTTCGGCCCCTCGCCCCGTGGGTTTCATCCCACCGCCCACGGCAGCAGCGCGGTGCCCGGCTGGAGCTGCGTGAGGGCGAGAGCACCAGCCCTTCCTGACCGAGTGGGTAACGAGCTTCCCAAACTTTCAGGGGTACCCCGCCAGGACAGTGCCCTGCCTAAACCTAAACAAAATCCGTGCAGGAAGACCCCAGAAAAAGTCAAGAGTCCTTCTAGACTTCTGCCAAAAAAATTACCCTTTGAAAGTCATCTCCTTCTGTAACTTCTCCCACTTTTGAGTTATTTTTACGTCTGAGCTAAAGACAGGGACGTGCCAGGAAGCAGCTCGCCCCAGTCCTGCCCCAGAGGGTCCCATGGGGGGGTCGTTTCCAGCCACTCCCCTCCCTTTCCCACACCCCCAGCACCCACAATAGCTGCTTTCACCCACTCACATCCCACGGGGCCCTTCCTAATGGCCGGGTCTGTAAATCCATGATTGCAAAACAATTAGCTCTTTTACAGCTCTTCAGTAAAGCAGAAGATAGCGTTGGGGGAGGAAAGAAACACCTCCAAGGGCTCCTGGACCCCTCGGCTGCTGCCCAGGGAAATCGCACTTTGTGCTGGGGAGGCACAGACAGACGGACACCCCTGCACCAGCCTGCCCGGGCCGGGGAGCGCTCGTATCTTGGAGGGAAACGGGAGCCTTCGAGCTCTCTGACGTCAATTTACACATTTATTATCAGCTCTCCCCGCCTTGGTCCGCGGGCTGATTTGCTCCCACCCCTCGCCCCTCTTGGCAGGATGGACGGACAGACGGACGCGCGGTTCTGTTTGCTTTGCAGCGAGACTCTCCGAGCTGCACGGAGGCCCTGGCCACCGGCTGCCGCGGGAGAATTTCTGCCCCAAAGCCGGGTCTGGTGCCGGGGTGACACCCGGGGTTGTCGCCGCTCTCGCCCCAACGCCTCGTCAGCACGGGAGCTGCTCCGCGCCCCGCACGGCGCCGCTGGCACCCGCCATCACCGCGCCAGGGGACGCATTTACGGGGACCGGGAGGATCCGGGATGGCGGAGCACGGGGGGGGGGGGGGGGGGCCGGGGGGGAGGCGGGCGCTGCCCCACCGGCTGCCCGCGCAGCCCCGGGTGAGGCGGGATTGAGCCCAAATTCTGACCCCGCGCGGCCACCTCGGCGGGGAGCCCGCCGGGCTGACACCCCCGAGCCGCGGCCGCTCCTGCCCACCGCGGGCGCGGGGAGGATTTTTCGGGGGGGGGGGTGTGGGGTGTGAGAGACCCCCCCCCCAAAAACCCGCTCAGAGCCTCAGGCGAGGCCCCAACTCGCAGCAAGAGGCCCCCGACAGCCGCGGCCCGGCCGCCGCCGCCCCCCGCGGCCTCCGCCGGCTGCTGCCCCCGCCCGCCCGCGCCGCGGTCAAAATAAGAGTCCCCGGGCCCCAGGCCCGGCGCGGCCCCGCTGCGCCCCGTCACAGCAGCCCCTTCCCTCGGTTTTAGCCGTGGGTAATTAATTAACACAGACACGGCCACCGGGATCCTCTCTCCCGCTGGCAGCTCCCGGCAGGATCCCCGCAGAGCCCCCCGGCGGTGCGTGGGGACGCAAAGGGGCCACGGGGGTCCTGTCGCTCAGGGGAAGGAGCCGAGCGGGCTGAGGGGGGTGGTGGCAGGGATGGGTGTCGTGTCCCCCCCCCCCCGGGATGGAGCGACCGTTCCCCACACAAATAAAACCACCAGCGGCTTGAAATGGCGTGCCAGGGAAGTGTCGGCTCCAGTGAGGGCCGGTGTCACCCCTGGGGCGTCGCCACCATCCTGAGCTGGGGATGCTCAGCTTGACGTGGGAGAGAGGGAGGGAGGGAGGGGATCAACCACCTTCACCCCTGCGCCTACAAACCACCACGCACCCACGAGGGTCCTCGTGCCTTCGGGACGGGGGCGAGAGGGACGTCGGTGGGGGGGGATGGCTGGTCAGGCCGGTGGCTCTGGTGGCACCTCTCCTCTTCCATCTGCTGGGGCTCCATCTTTCTAAGCTGGAGCCGGGGACGCTGCAGCCGCTGGGACAAACCCCCCTGGGCCATCGGGAAGGAAAGAGGCTCCCACAAGCAGCCTGGGAGCACACAGAGCCCTTGCAGCCCATCGCCACCTGCCACGGCTCTTGTCCCACCTCGGACCCTGCAGCCGGTTTAGCCTCTTGCGCTAATTAACGTGAGCTGGGCGAGGACGGGGTCTGTTTTGCCACGAACCCCCTCCCCTGCCCCGTGTTCCTGAAGCAGCTGCCACCAGCCCCGAGCGGAGCCGCGGGGCTCAGCGCCGGGCAGCCTGCGGCCAGCACGAAGCTTGGCCATGGCGGCCGGGGCTCCGGCCCTCCAGCCAGGCTGACATCGCCCTCTCCCGCACCGCGCGGGGCGAGCAGGGATGGATCTCCACATCCTGGGATTCCTGCCAGCAGGAAGAGAAAAACCCAACTGCCCCAGCGCTTCCTCCGGCTGGGAGCCCCCGTCTTTCCAGCTGGACCTCTCTCCATCATGGGAGCACAGAACCCCACCGGTGCCTTCCTGCCCCAACGGTTCCCCCACTGAGTTGGAGGGGAGGTGGCTTCGCTTCAGCGTTGGCTGTAAATCAGCTTCTGAGCTTCAGCTCCAGACGTGGGTGCCTCCTCTGAAAGCCGCTTCTCACCCGCCCTGCCAGGCCCTCCCAGCAGGTCTCGGTGTACAGACGGCGCTCATCACACCTTTACCCCGAGCAAAGCACATGTAGTCTTAAAAAAGGAGATCTTTATTTATATTTTTCAGTTCTTTACATCTGGTGGTTTAAAACCCAGGACAAAAATACTCCCCAGAAGTAAACATGTAAAACTGTTAGTTTACGTTTTAAAACCCAGTAATAAATTGCACAGAAGTCTTAAGTTGTACAGAACCGTCACAAATACTGTTGTATAAAACCCCCAGATCTGTAGAGGGAACCACAGCAATAAAGAATTACAGCCACGAGTATTGGTACAAGAAAGGGCACAAGTTTTGAGGGTTTTACCCCACCGGTCTCTCTTGGGGAGGAGGGATGGGACATTCTTGTTGCAGATACTGGAAATCTTTAAAAACACAGAATAAAAACCAAATGGACCCCAGAACACTCTTTATCTCCTCTCTTGTGCTGGCTCAACAGGAAAACTTCCTAGCAGAAAATATTTACTTTTACAAAACTACTGAAAGTTCAGTGGAAAGCTAAAAATTAATGACTGTCCGACAAAAAGAAGAGCCTTTGCATCCCCCATCTCCCCTTTCCCCATCTCCTGCAGGCAGTGGGACAACAGGTGCCAAAGTGGAGTTTAGCAGGACACAAATGACACTGAAAAAGCCAAAAATATGGAAGCAGCACACATGGAGTGAGATAAGAACAAAGCCATGAAGGACAAAAAAGCAGCAGCAGCAAAAGGAAAAAAAAACTAAAAAAAAAGGAGAGAAGATATTTTCCATTGAATGCTGAGTTTGGCAACAATTAGCTGACACGCTTCACACACGCCCCACTGCTTCCTCTCCCCATTTCAAACAAAACCAAAACCCAATTGCTTAAAAAAATTGAATGAATTCCTGTGCGCTGATGTTTATTACCCTGAGCTGGGTTTGGAAAAATGGGCTTTTTTTCCGCTTTGGGGAGAGAGGGATGACCCGGGGCCTATAGGAGCTCCCCAGGACATAAAGAGGTTGAAGCCTGCGAGGCTGCAGAGAAGAGGGACAGCAGCGAGGCAGGGGACAAAGGGATTGTCCCCTGGCTGTCTCCAGAGGGGAACGTACACCCAAGCATTGGGTCTCGCCCCACTGTGCTCCCCCGAAGAACTCCTACACCCCACCCCGAGGCCCTGGCTGCCGCAGTGCCCCGGGGCCACAGCTGCGGGCAGGTTTGAGAAGAGCTGCGCTGACTCCTCCACCCTGCCGCCCCACCTCGTTCCGCAGGGGTCCAGGGAACATGAACGAGGCTCTTTGTGTCGGGCTTCAGTTCCCTGCCGCCGCGCTGGGGGACAGGCAAGGCTGGGCAGGAACGTTGAAAACCACAGCGCTTTGCCGGTTATTTCTGTCCGCTTGCACAACCGCGAGGTTGCTCAGAGACCAACTTCGCATCCCGGGCAGAGCTGCCCCGCAGGTCCGGGAGGCCTCTCCCTGCAGCAGCCGTGCGTGCCCAGCCCAGCATCCAAAAGAACAAGGACCAGCACGAGGTCTGGCTCCAACCCCTTCCTGCTCCCTCCGCAGCAGCCAGCGGACATGGACACTCCTCACCGGCGTGGAAAAGCGTGCCCGCTTGCTCTTGGCTTTGCAAAGGGGACTCCATGTACAGCAAGAGGTGCTGAAGGACCAGTCTGCAGCAAATATGAGTTGGGAGAGCAAGCTCAGGTGTGCGGGAGCACTGCAGAGGTGCAGGGCACAGCGCAGCAGCTGTGAGAGATACGGCTGGCCTCTCCTCTCCAGTCTCCACCATGAATAGTGCATTCCCAACTGTCAAGGTTAAACGAGGAGAACAGACACTGGCTGGGGGCCTAGAAGGGCTTCCCAGTGGCTCCAGCCACGGTAACCCAACAGCACTCAAGATTTCCAGCCAAGGAACAGGGGCTGGACATGTCACCAGCGGCTCAGCTTCAGGGATGGAGAATAAGAAATCAGGAACTGCGTGCCAGCCCAGGCGGCCTCTGCCAGGAGAGCCTGCCGCCCCACCCAGCACGTCCAGAAGCATTGACAGCTCATAGGAATTTTTCCAGAGGTGTGGAAGGGATTTGGGTTGAGGCTTGAAAGGAAGGATACCTACTGCTGACAGCAAGGAAGGCCACAAGAGCTACAGGCTGAGCCAGGCAAAACAGGTTCAACTAACTGGGAGGAAGAGCCCTGGGGAAGAGACGTACCGCTACAAAGAGACAAGCACCTGCCTCTGACCCCCTGCCTATCAAAAATGCTTTTCACGGCAGGCACAGACCACCAGGCAAAGGAGAGGGACTTCTATAATAAAAGCTGGGCAGAAGCGTAAGTTGAACAGAGGGTGACGAAGGGTCCTCGTATCCGAGACACAGATCACACCTCAGGCGACTCGCAAAGACAACGTTTAGGCAACAGCTACACGCTTCGGACACGGTATCACCAAACTCTGGGGGTGGGGAGGAGCCTTCTTCCATTTTTCATCAGTTTATTCCGAATGACTCGTTAGGAGAAGGCATGTGCTGGTGGTTTCCAGCCCTCCCAGCCTGACCTTGGCTGTTCCGCCTCCATCCTCCTGAAGGGAGAGTCCGCTCTCCCCTCCCTCCCCGCCAGCCCACCTCTCCAGTCAGACAGCAGAGAGCTTTGCCCAAGACCCGTGGGCCACTTGCACAAAGCCTGGCTCTGGGACATGGGGCTGGGGAAGCAGCAGTGCAGTGGCTGCTCGCTCCGGAGCTGAGCCCACGTGGTGCCAAACTCCCTCCAACCATCTGGGACTACGCGCCCAGCACCGCGGTCAGGCTGCGCCACGCTGCTTTCCCTGAGCTTGGCAGGAGTCACCATCCTTCCTGGTGAGAGCAAACTTGCTTCCTTTTGTAAGAAATCAGCAAGGTGCATTCCTGGATTTGGCATGAACAGGCACATGGAGAAGCATCAGAAATGGATGAAAAAGCACAGCATTTCTCTTAGAATAATTTATTAAATACAGCATTAAAATTTGTATTTATGAATTCAATCATTAAAAACAAAACTTCATCTCATATATATATATTCAGGGACAATGACAATCATTCTATCAACATTGGTGCATGTTGTGCCAGCACTGCTCAGAACGGCACCTTCTCTACACTATCCTTAAAGCAGTTCAACACTTAAAAATAAAATAAAAAAGCATTTGCAAAGAAAGAGTGCAAAGCAGGGCTTGTCCCCAGCCGCCTGCCAGGGGTGTGCAGAGGCAGGTTAAAATGAGGAGGCAGAGGCTGTAGTGCTCCTAACAGGTTGGTTAGATATTGCCTGCCCAGCGTGAGGCAGTGTGGAGGCCAGTTCTCAGAGCTGCCAAAGGTCTGCAGTCCACAGTTTCAGCTGCGGCTGGATGCCTGTGGCTCTCAAGTATCTGGTTTGTGGTTTCCTCAGTTTGGGCAGTCAATACTAAAAAAGCTAAACAAGGCAGGGGGGAAAAAAAAAAAAAAAAAAAAGCACAAAAGAATAATGCTGTTTTACATCCACCAGCTTCCTCCCCCGACCTGCCCGGTCCAGCGAAGGCTGCAAATGAGACGTAGCAGTTTGTGTTCCCACTCACTCATTTTTGCACCCTGCTGGGGCTCAAGAGGCGGCTCAGGAGACAAGTGGTAAACCAGTACTGGCTCGCGGGGAGACCAGTCCCCAGGCCCGGCAGCCGTGGAACTGCTCCTGCGAGAGCTGCCAGGCCGGGCCTCGAGGGAGGGTCGTCCCAGAGGGAAGGGGCTTCCACGGCCAGGGGCCTCGGGCAGACTCGGAGGTAGCATCAGACAGACTTTTGTAACTTGATTGTCATGTAATTCTGGCCTGCCAAAGGCAGCAGCAGCTGGGACGGAGAGGGCACCGGGCAGGGGTGGGAGATGGGACACGGGGGGTCGGGGCCCCCCGCTCGCTGTTCAGCCTGGGCGCTGCGGTCTGGCGGTGAGCAAGGATGGCCTGTCTCCCGCGGGGCCTCTGAAAAGCTGCCCACGCTGACAAAGGCCAGGAGCCAGCTCTCCCTCCGCAGCTCACCGGGGCCTCTCGGGTTCTGAGCAAGTGCCCCGGTGAGCTCCCCGCTGCCAGGGCCTGCTCTCCTCTCGCCGCACGCAGGCGGTAGCCCAGCGAGGACCAAAGGCTGCCAGTCACTCACCCCACAACACAGGTACGGTGAGAGCTTGTGCTTTTGGCTTTTTAGGAGTCTCTGACCTTCCAAACCTGCTTACTCCAAGAAACCTCCTGTTTCAGCTACCCTTAGGACTTACGAGGACAAGGAGGAAGGGCTGTCAAAACCACTTCTGGAGAGCACATGGCCACTAAAAGAGAAGAGAAAGTCCACACAGCCCAGCCTTCACCTACAGTGGAGACGTGCCAAGTCAGGAGCATTTCAAATAAGGCATCGCAGGTGCTTTGATAGTAAAGCAGTTAGTGTTGACTACAGTACAGAACACAGGCTGCTGCAATCCCTGGGGCAAAATCAGTTCTCCAGCACTTGGTGAAGCAAGAGGAGACAGTTCAGTTTCTCAGACCTCTCCTATGCACGCACACGGGCTGCTCTGGCTGCCCTTTTGTTTTTTTTTTTTTCCCCCCTCCCTAGAAAGAGACTTAAAAAGCCCAGGCCGGGATGTGCCATTTACCCCACCAAGCAGCCAGAGAGATAAAAGGACGCCTTGTGCTGTACCAGACTTTGCAGTAGGCAGGTGAGCCGCGGTGCCTGGGGTGGGCAGAGCCGGCGGGACTCGAAGCAGGGGAGGCTAGTTGCCATTGCTGATGCTGGAATTGGCACTGCTGCAGCTCTGCTCGTAGGATGGAGGTGCCTCTGCAGGGGAAGGAAAGAATAAGAGCGGTTATAGCGGGTGTTTGGGAGGTTTCTCTTCACCCCAGTCTACATAACTGGGTGCAGAGTAAAGCAAACCGCTAACACGTACAGGTCGTGCATGCAGGCAGTCTCTCTGCAGGACCCTCCAGCCTGCACGGCTCAAATATACGGGGTTTGCATGTGCACATGCAGAATTGGAGCCAGCCAGACTCATCCCTATACCGACGCTTACAGGTGTTAAAATCAGCACCTCAAAGTCCTGTTCTGTTCCTCTCCTTCCTTCAAAAGCATCCTCATGTACTCCCACACCAGATCAGAGGAGACTCGTGCTCCGTGCACCCCAAGCCAGGGCTGAAGTGACACCTCGGGTGTCCCGCTACCCCGGTGCAGACAGACGGGTTTGTTTGGGTAGGGCTGTGCTAACGGGGTGTCTGTGCTAACAGACACCGCTGCTCCCTGCCACCCCAGCCGCCTGGGACAAGCACGGCCCCAGGAAGCCAGCACACTGGGATTTCCCCAAGCTTTTCCACCCTGGACAGTCTCTCAGCTCCCGCCCCCACAGCTTGTGTCTTCAGACCAGCTGCAGGCCCACTCCAAGTCAGACAGAAGATTTCAGTTACATCATTTTCCTGGCTCTGCTCCCACCAGCCTCAACACAAGCCAAGAAGTTTTTCTATCAGTGGGAGGCTGAAAGCTCATTTAAGAACAGGGAGATCCTCTCACAACAAGCCCAGGGCAGGCACGGGTGTAGACGTGGGAAGGGACAGCCGGCTTTTACAGCTGTAAGAGGGGACTCCTCTGGAGGCTAAAGCAGGCGGAGAGATCTCATGATCTCCTCTGACACCAGCCCCCAGCAGGCTGACATCCCTGTATTCCCACCTAGTTCACAGCTAGCAAAGAGAATCTCGTCACAGGAGATGTTTACTACCACACTGCCAGCCCGGTGAGATCTCAGGAGCGGGCTGCTCACCGTATGGGTAGCCCCACGTGCTGTACTCCGGAGGCAAAATGAGCGAGCTGGCTGTGGGGACGGGCACCACGTTCCCCTCGGCGTAGTAAGGGACAGTGGCTCCCGTTGAGAGGCAAAGCGTGGGGTGGTTTGGGGAGCCCGTCTGCTCCGAGTCCACCCGTATCTCCTGGAAGCTCAGTCCTGGGGCGTAGCTAAATGGCTGCTGCTGGGAATGGCTTTTGGTGGGGATCGAGACATTGTCCATCGGGTGATAACCACTGGCAGCCTCCTCTTCCTCTGGGGGAGCACTGGGTACCACTGCAGACGGTATGTGCTGGATGGAGCGGGAGGGGCTCAGAGGCACCCTGTTCACAGCAATGTTCCCAATATAAATGGGGAGAGTGACTGAAACCTCTGGTGACTTGAGGGAAACCTGGAAGAGAAGGAAAAACAGGGGCATCCTCTTCATTATACATCGCACTGGGAAGGTTCACCCGGTACAAGGGCCACCTACACCACACAGCTACAGAGTTCAGTGACAGCTCAACCCAGAAGGGAGCACAGAAGTTGCAGCACAGCCCACTGGAGCTCCCCAGGAGCACTGATGTACTCACTTGGATGTAGTAGTCGATATGTATGAGGCTACAGCCCTGCAGAATGGACTGGGGCAGTGCTGGAACAAGGATCTGCTCCTTCCATTCTGCATGTTTCCAGGCTTTCACTCCAGAGCCTTCCACCTCTGCGATGGTCCTCAGGTCGTAAATCCAGCGCTTGGATTTATAAGCCACTTTCTGTACAGACCGAAGAAAATACAGCTAGCAGAAAGACTGCAGTCTTCTGTCTCCCACAAACCTAAGTCAGGACACAGAACCACCCAAACGCTTTGTCAAATAAGCACAAGCCGAAGAATCACCCTTTCAGGTGCTTACCTGGAGCAGACTGGCTACCACAGCCCCAGTGTCCCGGCCCGATTTGTTTTCTATGTCTGTTCGGAGCTGGATTGCTTGCCCCACGATGTACCCTTTCAGATCCGAGGTGGCGGTCAAGATAATGTTGCCACTTTTCACAAGCTTGTAGTTGAACTTCTTGGTGATCGACATAGTGTTGGGCTGCTGCAGAACAGCAGAGAGACAGAGATGTTGGCTTGAGGGAGTCAAGAGTCTCCAGGAAAACACTCAGAGATTCAAAACAAGCAAGCAGAAATATCTGGTCTGAGAGGATGCAAAGAACCAGCAACACAGCACTGTCACAGACAACAGGCCTCACTTCTCCATCTCCCCAGTTCTGCTGTCCTATCAGTTGCTCTTCCCTTCAGAGCAAGTTTCCCAAAGCCAGGTCTCTACAAGCACCAGGTGCTATTGGCCAGCATCTCTCTCTGCGTGCTGAAAATTCACCTAAATCTTTCAAAGCAACATGCAGAAGAGTCAAAAATCACTTGGAGCGGGACTGATGGCAAGGCAGGACAGCTCAGGAGTTCTTGTCCTGCTTTTGCACAGTCAGGGTGTGCAGTCGGAGTTGTCCAACAGCACAATTATGCCCCAGACTGCACACAGGACAGGGACAAGTGCTGAAGCCTTGGCACTTCCCAGCCACGCTCCTCCTGTTCTTACCTCGATGTCAGGGATGTCATTCAAGTTGAGAGGGCACAGAACGTAGAAGATCTTGTTGCACTTGTAGTCCTTGGAGAAGCGAGGTGTGTCTATCACAGCTTTCACCTGATGGAGGACCTTGCCAAAAGGGCCTTCAAAGGATGTAGGAGCAGAGGCTGGAGTCAAAAGAGAAAGACAAGTATCGTGAGGCTGAGTCAGGCCAAGTGTTTCTGAACTGGAAGCACAGTCCCTTTAAACAGCTTTCCTCTTCACCTGAGGAGTTCTGCAAGTACCTGAGAGGCAGAGCACGTGAGGATTCCCCCCAAAAAGACCTGGGGCTGAACGCTTAGGTCACTCAGAGACCTTGCTGCAACCTCCTTACAGAAGGGATCCTCCGCAACCACAGGTGCGAGAGCAGCGATCCTCCTCTGAGCACACTGTGCAGGACGGCTGGCTAGCTGCAGGCCAGGACCCCTGGCACGCCCGGCGAGCTCGCAGGGTCATGCTTGGAGTCGCACCAGCGACAGCTCAGACCCGGCTTTGCCCCAATGCAGAAGGTACCCTCTTGTCCGAGCTCCTCTGCTGCCTGTGGCTGACCTTATGCTCCCGGTAGCATCTCTGGGCCAAGCTGCCAGCCTGCCTCTGCCATCCAGCCCGAGTCCTGCTCAGCACAGCTCGAGAGGCTGCAGAAGCCAAGGCTTACATGGAAGTGCCTTCAGCCATTTATCTGCATCATACCTGGTAGCAGGAACTGGAAGGGAAAGTTGTGCTCTCCAGCTGTCAGGACCCCTGCGGGAAACAAGAGTAAAAGGTAAGTGGGACAGGGTGTTGCCTTGGAACAGTGTGACCTCCTGGAGGGCACAATCTCCTGCAGAGAGAGCCCAGCACCTGGGGAACAACACGCAACTGCTTCAGCTGCCCACAGCCCACTAGACAACTCCAGATCCAATAAGGAGTGATTCAGTCAACAGCAGCATCCGCTGCCTCCCTCCTCTCCTTGGGACAGATGTCTCCATTCCCAATGACTGGTTCTACATTGAAATACTCTGGAAATGAGGTAATCTGGGGCAAGGTTTAAGGGATCCCAGTGCCGTAGCAAGTGGTTAGCCCCAGACTACTGACACAGGGCATGGAGCCAGTCAGGAGGAAAGCGAGGAAGCACAGGCACTGTCTAAGGTCTGCTAGGCATCAAGCCACTATAGCCTTAGCCACACACCAAGACTCACAAAACTGCGCAGTGTTCAGAAGCTGAAACCAGAGGACCATCTCTCAGGCCTAAATCCACTCCCGGTCCCATGAAGGGACCTGCAATACCTCAACGCAGGTGTTTAGACAACAGAAGCCAAGAAAAAGATTTCCACAACGTTAAAACCTCAACACTAGATTTCTTCAAGCACGCATCCTGCTCTTCAATGGCGGCCTTGAGGGCACAGATCAGATCGAAGACTCAGCACAGGGCTAAAACAACAGCTACAGATTCAGACTCTCCCACCCCATCTGCCCTCCGGCACTCCCATCCAAATTCCAGATTCCCTTCCAGGCAGCCTGATGGCTAAACTGGACCTGCAGGGCAATCCAGTAACATCAGGCAGCTCCCAAAGTTGCCATCAGTAAGAAAAGCACTCAGGTTTATCCACATTTGTTAAATAGGTGTAAACAGAAGAGGCTTTGTTTTTAAAGTGGCAGTGCTGGCAGGAGACCTGGATACCCATTAAATCAAGCTGTGTTTATTCTGCTTTGTAGGATCCTTGCTGGAGGTACCAAGACTCTACAGTTGGCTAGCTCTTTTGTTGATGGAAGACAAATGAGACAGCTTGCCCGTTAGCAATACTGGCTCTGCAGATCTGACAGGAATAGAGTCCTATCTTCAGGGGATTAAATGGGCTACGTGACAGGGGAAGGTGGGGAAGAGAGGAGGGTAAATCCCCCCCACTGACACTGTGATGCAGGTAGGAGGCAAGGGAGGTGGCGTTCAACTAGGTGCATCCTTCACGTTATGAAAAGCTGCACCTCTGCCCCTCCGCTCACTCAGCCAGCCCACGGGGACCTAAGGACACCCCAGTTAGCGTGCATCCCGCCTGCAGTGCAAAGGCAGGCAGAATAAATAATATGACAAGCATGCCATCACCTATCGCTACAAAGGCGAGTCAGGAGAAAACTAAGAGATGTCTATTTATACACTTTGTCCTTACAGAGAGGAGCAGGATTTGCTCATTCCCATCACCCCACCCAGAACACTTCCCTGATGGTTTCCCTCCGTCCCCCAATTAAAACCGAATTATGTAGGCTAAAATGCAACACCCGGTCTTGTCAGCAGGTGGAGGCACAAAGCCAGTCACTGCCTTGGCTGCCAGGCCTGATGCCTTGCAGAGCTGAGACAGGCACAGAGCTGTGGGGCAGCTTCTCCTCCTCCCTTCTTGGGAAGCCATGAGCTTGAGATGTAGCAGGCGACTTTGCTTGTTGGTTACAGGGTAAAGCCTGGCTAGTATGAATGACTCAACTAACCCTGTGTTTGTTCACTGCTCCACAGATTTCTGCCTTTTATTTGGCATCATTTAACATTGATCTTATACCTGTTATCCTTACTTTTGCAAAGCGAATCAATAAACTAGAATACATCAGTTCTGTGCAGCTTCTGCATTGCAGTAACGGGGCTTACTCCACCTGAAAGGGAGAGGGAGCAAGTCCCGGTACTGCAAAAGGAAGGGAGCTGGGAGTCCCAGAGGTTTGTGACCACTGAGTTTCCACCAAGACCCGGAGACTTTCCTGCAGAGCCCCAGCTGAACATGCAGGCAGTGATTTAAGTCTCCTGGTAGGCGCACAAAACTTCACAGCCTTTCCAGGACCCTTAGGAAGAGCTCGCAGACTCCACAAAGTGCAAGTCCCTCTTCTGCATTAGAGGCAGCGTGATCCAACAAGTCATTTCAGTCAAGCTCCCGCCCAGCTCACGTGCACCAACAAAAAGCCAGGCTGGAAGTGAATGTTCAGAGTTTCTAACTCCTTGCAGAAAACCAGGGGTCCTGAAGGTTGCTCCCAACAGCAGCACCGAGCAAGGCAATACGCCGTCCCAGCAACATGCGTGGCCAGCATCCCTCACAGAGGATGTGGTTCGGCCGCCAGAGCCACCGCAGGACTTGGTGGCACTGATGCCGATTCCACACGGGTAGCCCAGCCTCTGAGTGAGTCACCAAATAAGAACTGCCCGCAGGTCAGCGTAGACCACCCCAATAGCTCAGACCAAGCCCCAGCACCCAGAAACCTGCTGGCTCACCGTGTACTCAGACTTGCCCTGACCCCGCCTGGGGCAGGGAGCAGCCTGCGAACCCCTCCTGCAGGTCCTGCCTGCAACAAGCTTCTCATGAGGGCTCGAAAAGTTCCTGCTCTTCACAGCCAGGGATGAGTTCCAAGACCAGCTACCCCAGGCTGAAACCGTGACCTGTCACAGCTCACGCAGACTGAGGGCATCGCAGCAGTGCTTGGCTTGTGGCCACGAGAGCCCAGACCTCAGCCCTGCACCGAGCAGGGAAACACAGCGAGCTCTATTCTCCACTCCATTAAGTGCATAGATGCTGCAGGCAATTAGCAGTAGCTCTTGTTTTCAGATCTACTCCTTCCAGTCCACACTCTCATTCCCCCAAGGAGAGAGAAGCATCTTCATGCCAGCCCCGAGATCCTCCCTGTCCAGGGAATTTTCCAGCAGGCTGGACCAAGCACCCAGGTCCTACCCACATGTGCAGACACCACCGTACGCAGCTTCATTTGCCAGCACAGCTAATGAACAGCTGGCTGCTCACAGAGCCCCAACTTCCAGCTGAACACCTGCATTCCTTGCCCTTACTGCAAGCATAGGAACTGTTTGCAGAGGTTGGTGGTGGAAGGGCTACGATGGGCGGCAGCACCCTCAGCCCTGCATGGCTGAGCCCCCCGATCCCTGCTGTCGGCACCCTTGGCAGCCTAGAATGGGCATTTCAAGAAGCCTGCTGGCACAGAAAGCAGAAGGGGTGTTGGAGTTCAGTGCCAGAGCTATTTCAGAGACAACAGTTAAGAGAAATAAGATGAAGAAAACCAGATGATCCTGACCAAGACAGGAGATTCCCGTGAAAGCACGGGCAGGATCCAGAGCGCCTGGCAGAGTAACAAGGCAGGAGAGTCTGCAGGGAAACTTGGGTCCTGCCTGCCTCCTGCTGCGGGCAGGAGGAGAGGCAGGTATTTAGCAGCAACCCCACACCAAGCTGCTTCCCAGCCTCCTGCTTGCCTGTCCTGCTTGAAGCTCCTCCTGCACACAGTGGAGACTCCATGTCCGACTTGCCTGGGATTACAAAGCCATTTCGGTCTTTTGCCACGTGGCTGGTGCCTTTGGCAGGTGGAATGTTGGCAAGTCCCTAAGCAGAGTCCCCCCCTTACAGTGGGAAGGGAGGTGGCAACTACTTTTAAACTCTCCAGCTGGCAACTCTGCTCCTAAAAGGCTGAGCTTCCATTTCCAAATGCTGACTGGTCTTGCCATAATGGGGAAAACCTGCAATTTCCCTTGTCCCAACCGCACGGGCAGCGCACAGTCTGACCTTGAGCCAACACCCAGGTACCTCTCGCGTGCAAAAACAGCAGCAAAAGCCACCCTGGCTCCCTGTGAGGGACACTTGCAGTGCTCGCCCGTCCCGCACAGCCAGCGCAGTGGCAGGGCAGGGCAAGGCGTGCCCCGCTAACCCCGCACATGCCGGGGATAGGTCCCCACGGCACGGCAGGAGAGACGCAGCATCGTGCACAGGCATGCAGAGCCGTCCTGCCTGCCCAGCTGCGTCTGCTGCGCAAGTCCAGCATCCAAGCAGCAAGGGTGACCACGCAAAGCCACACACTGCCCCTGTCCCTCCAGCCCTGAGAGCTTCAAGTAAAGATCCAGGACATTTAAAGTGCTAATTTCACTTGCAGGTTGACTTTGCAACAGAGACAGTTGTCGGCAGCAGGCAGAGGTGAGATTGTTTCCCCACAGCCACCCTGACAGGCAGGTACCTGGGAGGAGCAGCCCTTTCTGAGTTGCTCCTGAACCAGCAGCTTTGTCAAAGCAAGCTGCAGACTGTGCAGGGGTGAGAGCAGGTCAGCAGGAGTTCCACATCTCTTGAGGGGTCTCCAACAGCCCCAGGCAGCAGGCTGCGATGCTCCTTAGGAGCCTGCAAATGCACTGCAAGGGGAAAGGGCTGTGCCAACCACCACAGCCCGCTCTGAGCCATTACCTCTCCGTTCCCAGAAGCCTGAACAAAGGCCATAGTGAGCTCAGCTGCAAAAAAGCTTTTCCTGAAGTTTACGTGCAGCTAAAAATACCCTGAGAAAGTCATTAGGCGGTAGAGGCAGCTGGATTAGCAGGGTTCTGCTGCAGGGTCATACCTGCAGCAGCCTTTCCTACTGATAGGAACCGAGCCAGCAGAGATTGGCCACCCCCGCACAGCCTTTGGAAACATCCTCCCGAAAAGTTCCTGGAGGGAAAGGAGCTGCTGCCCCAGACAGCCTAGGAAAAAAAACAAACCCAGACAGCAGGAACAGCAACAACATGCTAACAGGGCAGAAGAGTCATCCTACAGTGCAAAGCAGAGAGCGACCTTAGAGATTTCCCTGAATCCAGTGGAGATTTGTCTGGAAGCAAACAGACTCTCCCACTCACAGCTCAGCTGCTCCCCTCCGCTCCACGCTGGGACAGGGGGTTGTTTGCTTGTACCAGCAGATGTGGAAGAGGCCGGCGAGGACGTGTGCTGTGCAGAAAGGAAACGCGTTGATCCAGAGGGCTGAAGGCAAGTCCT